CCAGGAACAGTGCCGTGGTTTGTCTTCCCATCAAATGTGAAGTTTGTATATTATTAGTAAGTATTGTCAGAGGATGTATGGTTGACTTATTCTTCTGGAACCCAAACTGATAGCGAGGAATCGTGTGTCCTATTGCTTCTGTAATTCTGTTGCATAAAATGTTTTCGAAATTTTTGGCCAAGTTTGTCAGGAGAGTTATAGGTCTGTACTTTTTTACTTGAGATTTATCGGTGTTGGGTTTTGGAATGTTTATAATAATGCCAGTTTTCCACTTTTCTGGAAAATATTGGTTGTTTAAGCAATAATTATATATTCTCAGAATTTCCAAGTTTGTTTCGTAGTCTAGTTGTCTTAGTAGTTTTTTGGTAATCCAGTCGTAGCCTGGAGCTGTGTTTTTTCCTTTATAAAGGATATTAAAATATTCCTCCTCCGTAACGCTTTCAGCTGTCGAAGGAAGGTCTTCTTCTTTGAAGTTGGCATACCATTGCGAGACCTCATTATAGTGGGCTACACATAAATTTGCATCAATACTTTCTTTATAGGTGTCTTCTAAATAGTCTGCAAAGAGTTCAAGTTTTTCGTTAGTTGTTTCGTATGTTCTGCCGTTGTCCACCAGGGGTGTATTAAACTGGTTCGAAGTGCCCTTATACTAGTTTACTAATTTCTTTCCAGTAAGTTCTTCCATAGTTTTCTTGGATTTTTTCACAAGCTTCTATCCATTTATGTTGTCGGTATTGATGAATTAATTTTTGAATGTTCTTGTTAAAAGTATTTATTTCTGTTTTTAATAGCGGATCTCCCAGATTTTTGTATTCTCTATAAAGTTTTATTAATTTTAAGATAAAGGGTGGTAATTTTTGGGTGTAAAATTTGATTTCTTTTTTGGGAGTATTTTCCATAACTGCATTTTTTAGAGTTTCAAGAAAGTTGTCTATGTGGAGCCTGTCCATATTTGGTTTGGATGTTAAAAAGTTGGCCATATTACTGTTGACAATTTCTATATTGGTTTTATCAAATAGCCATATTTCGGGGGGTGCGGTAAGGATGTTGTGTAATGTTGTTTATTTCTATAAGAAATCCTAGATGGTCAGAACACAGATCAGGAACAAGGCTTATTTTGTCAATGTTATTTTTTAAATTTTCAGAATAGAGGATGATATTTGGTGTACTATCAGTATTATTGGCCATGAGAAAGGTGGGGGCTGTAGAGTGTTGTACAAAGTTGGTGATATTTGTAAATGTTGATAATTGTTTCTTTTTTTGTCTGTTTACGTTAAAATCTCCAACAATCAAGGAGTATTTGTACAGGGAAGCTTTTGTAAAAATAGTTTCCTCTATTCTGGAATGAGGGTGTATATATACTAAAAAGACATGCAGATGATCATTGAAGAATGGAAGAGTAAAATGTATTACCTCATTCAAAGGGTTGTTTATTCTTGGGGCATTTGCCTTACCTAATTTTATGGATGGGTGCATTTGTACAAGACTCCCTCCTCGTGTTTTGTTGTGTATTTGATTTCCCTTTTGTAATACTTGGTTCCAGTCCCTATATTGGGTACTGAGGTTCTGGGAGATCTTAGCTTCTACAAACATTGTACACTGGATATTGTTTTGTTGTATGTAGTTATCAATATTAAGTTTTCGTTTTGAGTAGCTGTTTATATTATTGTATAGAATTTTAACTGACATATTGAGTTATATTTTCCTCCAAGGATGGTTTTGTGGGGGATTCGGAGTTGGGTTTTTCCAGGTCAAACATTAGGATATACATTCGGGTTCCAGAAAATACTGCCTGGGTGTCAATCTTAAAGTTATTTACAAACATTTTCCTTAGTTTTTGAATAAGTTCCTCACTTTTTTCCTCATTGTTTTTTTCATCGTTTAGAGTGTTGATGTATGTGTTTATTATGTGATCATGGATGGTAATTGAAGAGTGAATCCTTGATTTTTTAATTTCCTCTGGTAGTTCTCTAGATTTTTGGTTAATTGGTTTAATTGGCATGTTACGAATGCCTGGTATAGGAGTTGTTGGTCGCTTGGGGCATTTAAATGACCATGCTGATGATCAATAGCATTAAAGGCAGTATATTTAGGTTCAAGATTTGTAGTGCATTTGTTAGTTGCATGGTCTCCAGAGCATTTGCTGCAGGTTGTTTTTTCTTGGCAATTTTCAGTAGTATATACCATATGGTTAAATAAGTTGCATTTGATGCAAGGTTTGGGAGCAGCTGGGGGTGGGGTGCTAGGATAGACTGGGTAGTGACAGCTCTTGTAGAAAAATCCATCTTGAAGCAGGGATTTAAATGTTATTTCACTAGCTGTTATTATTCTTATAAGTGTGGTGGGTTTGTTGGTGGCTTTTGAAATAATTCTTTTGCAATATCGATGTGGTTTTTATTTTTCTTTGAGATGATTGCTGATGTCAATGTCACTTATTTCTGTCTCTACTCTGCTTATAACTACAGAAAACGACGGGGCGCTGATCTGCCTAGATGGACTTGTGTTTGGTGCAGTTTCCTTAAAATCTTTAATTATTGAGTGTGTCTTCAGGTTTTCCAACGATTTTACTATAATTTTCTTATCGGTGTCTGTTTTGAGGAGAAATCCATGTTTTGTTTTGATTATGACGTCTTTCGTTTTAGGGAATTCGATTTCCCATGTATGCCATGAATAACCGAGTCGTATCAATGTTGGTAGGACTGATAAAGTACATAAGTTTAAATTTTTTGTGCAAAATAGCATTTATGTTGTCACTGTAGTTAATGTTTTTTTGTGAATGTTGGTTTTTGTTTTGAATGGAATTGTGTGCAGTGTTGTTGTTTTTTGTGGGTTCGTTTTTGTTATTTCCGAGGTCTTTCGTCACGCGTTTTTTATGAGGTTGAAGTTTTGATTCTCCATTATTATCAAATCCTATTAATTCAATATCGGGGCTATCAGGATCTCTACCTCGTTTGTTTCTATCCTTAACAGGTTCGAACGTCCCCCCATCACCATCATCTTCATTTTCATCCATTTTTTTAAACAAAAAGCACTATATAAACTTGGTAATATTGCGAGCGATGTGCACCGTGCCGCTTCAATATACACTGTATATTCCACATTATAATAATAAAATTAATAATATTATAATCCATATTATGGATTTAGTCAGGTGGGCATATTGTGTATTTTGCTTATAGCTGGGCTGAGATGATACAGCCACAGCCCACTTAAAAGCAAAATACACAATAATTTTATTCATGGTTATTGGAGGCTAATAAGTGCATGTAATGATAAGCATAAATTGGTTTAAATCGACTCACTCAAACATAGCCTTTTTAAACCATGAAATGGCTGAAAATAGTGATTTTTCGAAAACATGAATTTTTATTATATTTTTTTGAACTCTTAGCCAATATTATTTGAAAATGTTTTTATTGCTTTTATATAGAGTAAGGTCTTTGGTAACAAACTCCATTAAAAAAATTTTGCTGGCAAGTTGTTTTAAGAATATATGAATTTATAAAATTAGACAATTTTGCCAAAAAATTGCATTTTTAAAAAATTCCCAAAGACCATTTAGGGCATCAATAACTAAATGTGTCCTATATGGTTTAAAGGAGAAATATTTCCTTAACAATTAACAGTTTGTTTAATGTCGATAGCTTTATTAGCAAAAGAAGTAATTTTTTTTTTAAGTTAGGTCTGCACAGTAACTTTTGCATAGCCCTGTATAAATAGGTGAAAGGGGGAGAAAAGAAAAGGTGAGTTTTTTTTACTTCTTGGGTCCTTATCTATTTACAGTTAAAAAAGAAATAAAATTAGAGGATATAAGGTGCACTCATTGGTGGCTAATAAATGGAATTACCCCTATGTTGTTTTACAGAAAAACGGTTAAAGGTAGAGGTAAAAAGTAAACAATATTTTTATAGGAAATTTAATTTCCTACAAAAATAATATGCATAAATGCAGTAAAATGTATAATTTAGAAGATATACGAGCCCTAACCACAAAATGTTCGGACACTTCATAATTTATACAGAAATATTTTTCGTGAATACTATCTCAAAATTATTAGAAGTTACGAAAAATTTAGCAAATTTAGCATATACCCCTCGAAGCGATTTTTATTTTTAAAAAGTTTACCTTTTATTTTTAGCTTTTAAAAAAAGGCTAACTTTTAAACTTTTTTTTGTATGAGTAAAAAAAGTTATAAATGGACCCATTAAAAAGAGCATAAAATATTATACAAACCCTGAAAATTTGGTAAAAAATAAATTAGTTATAAAAAAGTATAAGTAATTTAAAAATGCTATTTTTAAAGAGTTTTTGCAATTTTCTTAGGAAACGGGAGATTTTGCAGATATATATATCGTTATAACTTTCTTATTATTTATACAATTTTTACCAAACTTTCAGGGTTTGTATAATATTTTATGTTCTTTTTAATGGGCCCATTTATAACTTTTTTTACTCATACAAAAAAAGTTAAAAAGTTAGCCTTTCTTTAAAAGCTAAAAATAAAAGGTAAACTTTTTAAAAATAAAAATCGCTTCGAGGGGTATATGCCAAAATAAGCTGAATTTTTCATAACTGCTAATAATTTTGAGATAGTATTCACGAAAAATATTTCTGTATAAATTATGAAGTGTCCGAACATTTTGTGGTTAGGGCTCGTAGAGCCTTTAATAAATTTTATTGTCAAATATTGAAAAATGTTTTTTGTATAGAATTTTGGCGATATAGATAAAATAGCATAAAGAACTAATGTCATAAGACCTTTTGTCGCACTCGAAGAAGAATCTTTTTTAAGGAAATTACTATTTAATTATCCTTAATTTCCTGTTATTTCAATGAGAAAACTTTAAAAACGAAATAAAAGTACTTAGGGCTGAATTTTTAAGAGCACTTTTACCTCGATAAAAAATAAATGTTTCTTCAAAACGAATCACTCTATAGTGTATATATGTGCTTTTAGGTGAGTTTTTGTCAATGTTCGTCGAAAAACGCAGTATACTGACCCTGATCTTCTTCTTCTTGACCTTCTTGGGCACTTTGGTCTTCTTCAGCCTCTTGACGGGCGTGGGAGGCGGCGAGGAGAGCTCTTCGCCGCCAGAGGGCGACGTGCCCTCGCCGGGGCACACCCCGTCCGCGAAACGCACGCGCTTCTTGCCCGACTCGCAATCGCCGGCTGCGCAGTCCCCTCTGTGCAGCATGGCGCTCCTCTCGGCCTCGCGCGTCGAATCGAACACGACCGACGGCGGCGCGGTCAGCCACGACGCCGGCTCGTCGTCTTCGCCCTCGAGGTATTCCTCTTCCTCTTCTTCTTCTCGCTGAAGCGCTTTCTAAGATCGTTAAACAAAAAATGCCTTTTAAACGTTTTAAATTCACTTTTGTACGGGCACGATTAGTCGCCATGGAAAATGTTTAAGTATAGTCTACTTAAAACACATTTACAAAGTTTTAAAAAATATTAAAGTTGCCAAGAAGTATCGGGTATCGGGACTTAAAGCACCGATTATACATCATTTTTAAATAAATGAGTCGTTTTTTTTTACAAAAGAGAGGAAGGCAGAAGTCTTACTCGACAAATTTTGTTCAATTGCACACCTAAATCACGCACGTTATTTGTGTTTTACGTTGCAAGGAAAAAATTAAAAAACTTTTTTAGTACTCGATTTCGATTGATTATTTCTTATATCATTGATTAAGAAACTCAACGCTTAAATGCTTATATAGTTTCGTTAGTGTGTGTATTTTATCAAAGGGATCATGGTGAATTATTGTGTTTTTAATTGTAAATAAAATTCAAAAACTAAATCGTTCCATTTTCATGTTTTGCCAAAGGATCCAATTCGGTACATTTGTTGGTGCAGAATTAACTAATGTAAACTTTACCAAATATAATTTATATTTAAGTTTGGACATTTTTAAGAAATTAGTAAAAAATAATTTTTGCACAAATATAACCTTAAAATCAATAATTTTTATATTTGAGTTCTACAAAAACGCCGACAACTGCATTTTAAACAACAAAATGGCAACATAATATTATATATAATACAATGTCATATATTATATTTATAATATAATTGATATATAATATATATGTATTTATATATACTTACATATAATATAATATATATGTATTTATATATACTTACATATAATATAATATTTTACCGTTAAGTGGAGACTTTAAAGAATTCTTAATCAACGCTTTTAATAATGCTAAATGCTGTTTAAATGTAGACGACTTACTTGTTTGACGATTTTTACTGAATTGAAATGTTTACACTTTTCACGTTAATCACTACCTACTAAAATGTGTATTTATTGTAACTAATAGGTACAATTTATATTTACAGAGACTGTATGCAATTTATTTCTTCATTCAGATTAACACTGACAATCGATCCACGGTTTTTTTTTCGATATTTTTTAACATTTTCCGGCTTTATTTTCAAAAACACTCGTTTGTAACCTAAGGGTTTGACAGCTGATTATTAAAAGTTCTACTTTTGTTACGATGATAACAGCCGAGTGGTGGCTCTACCAGCGAACTTCTTTAGCGTATAGTCTACTTAAAACACATTTACAAAGTTTAAAAAAATATTAAAGTTGCCAAGTACACGGGATGTTATCGTTTATTATTGTTAAACTATATTGTGAATGTTAACAAAAATTTATATGCCAATTCTACAGGTTTAAGAGCAAAAAAAATCATCGATTTCTTATTGCCATGGTATAAGATATGCTTTTATTAAATACATTTCCTATACAGCCCATGTCTTTAATTAATGCATCTTTTAACGTGACATTGAAAAATTAATGTTTTTCTAGTATGCACTTCCCAAGTAGCACAACTGGTTAAATAACTAGCACTTTAAGTAAATTAACCAAAATCTTACCTATAGATAGATAAATTAAGGTTATTTCAAGATTTAAATTGACTATAAATAATACAAATATTTACTAGTTAGTAATATTTCTTATACACTCACGGGCAAAATAATCAATCCACACAAAATTTCGATGAATTTCATTCGCAAATATTTTTTTTATTTGATGTCGGATTAAAGAATATTGTAGATAAATTAATGGAGAATCGCTCACATTTTAAAAAATTACTAAAAAATAATGTACGTTTATAATATACAGGTTTAAACAAAAAGAAGTTTTTTACCATAAGTTTAAGACACTCTGTTCTTCTATTCTTAACAGTTTTGTTTTTGGTTGACCTCGATATATTTATTTTTGTGGAAAATATGAATTAAAAAAAAAACATTACAATTTCCAATATTTTTTCTGTACGAAAAACTAAGGTTGCATGGTCCATCTATAGGCTATGGAGGATGACAGTGACAGATTTGTTGAATCATCCCATACTTGGACATGTCATATACGGCTTTCAAAAGCTATCAAATTGTTTTTTGCAAATTAATGTTTAAAATTTGAGGTGTCTTCTTACTTTTAAAAATGGATATGTCTCCGACTGATGTTGCCAGAGCCATTCAGGATGGATGTTCACAGTATTACGTGGCAAGTGTTTTAAACGTCACAAGAAGTAAAGTACAAAGGGCAACATCAGTCGGAGACATATTCATTTTTAAATGTAAGAAAACGCCTTAAAATTAACACATTAATTAAAAAAAACAATTTGATAGCTTTTGAAAGCCTTATATGACATGTCCAAGTATGGGATCCCAAATCATATGATTTAACAAAACTGTCACTGTCATCCTCCATAGGCCATGGATCGACCATAGCAACCTTAGTTCTTCGTATAGAAAAAAAATATTGGAAAATGCAATGTTTTTTTTTTAAATCCATATTTTCCACAAAAATAAATATATTAAGGTGAACCAAAAACAAAACTGTTAAAAATAGATGTGACTTGATAATTAAAACTTAATTTAGAAAAATATATGGTAAAAAACAGATTTTTGTTTAAACCTGCATATTATAAACGTACATCTATTTTTTAGTAAAAATGTGAGCGATTCTCCATTAATTTATCTACAATATTCTCAGGGCCGTCTTTAACCTATTGGAGGCCCTGGGCATGTTAGGATAATGGGGCCCCTATGACTTTGACAGAACACTATTTTGTTAGAATAGACAAAGAAAGTAGATAAACAAGGTTAAATATTTATTTTTATTAACAATCACATGAAACGAATAGATAAATGATATTACATATTACTATATTAAGTCCACAAAAGTACTTAACTTTTTATAGTATACTTCCTTTTCTATAAGCAGTTGATTTATAAGTATACTTACTTGTAAAAAAAGGGACTCTAGATTGTGAATTTACTTACATTGATATAAAATTATTTAAAATTAGTTAGGTAAAAGAAACACAAGTATTAATTTTTAAACCCCAATTTAATTCAAGTATATTTGGTACAAATAAAATTATAAATAATAATACAAGTTATAAAAACAAACATAAAATAAACCATATGCAAATATGTACACTAAAAAACATGATTCTAATAATTAGGATATTTTATAAATAAATAATAAAGAATAAATAAAGAAAAACAATATTTTATTGATTTTTAAATAAAATTAGCTTATGTAGTTTTTGTCTAACATATTCTGGTTTTTCAGAAGCCTTTTTACCTTCCCAATTTAGTCTGGAGCTTAAAAATATAGCAATAATTTTTTTAATCAGAAGAATTCTATGATTGTCCAATATATCTTGGTTCTTTATATGATCAATCATTGCAGAATTTAAAAATACTGACTGTACATTATACAATAATTTATTACTTATATACATACATGGCACTATTTTTAAATTTAAATTTATTTGACATTTGTCTAGTTAATTTTTCAGTTTCTTGACAAATTATAACTACATTGTATTTGATCTGAGGGGGGGCCCTGTCGATCCCGGGGCCCTGGGCACTTGCCCAAAGTGCCCAATGGGAAAGAGGGGTCTGAATATTCTTTAATATTTGTTTAAATCCGAAATCAAATAAAAAAGTTATTTGCGATTGAAATTCATCGAAATTTTGTGTGGATTGATTATTTTGCCCGTGAGTGTATAAGAAATAGGTATTACTAACTAGTTAAATATTTGTTTTATTTATAGTCAAGTGGATCGATTATTTTGCCTGTGAGTGTAAGTTTAAAAGTAGGTTATTTTAGAAGTTACATAACGTTATATTAACTTCTAATTCGAACCTTTGAAAATGGATATTTTTTTAGAAATATTTTGATTTAGTTTAACTTTTGATATTACTTTTTGGTAAATTTACCACAGCTTTGGTTAATTTGGACATATTTTTTTAACCAACAAGTTATATTTTACGAAATATATTTAAAAAAGTGATGGTTTTGCAGTTTTCATTGTTACCGGCATAGAAAAATTAGTCTCAATACAGCTTTATTTATAAATATAGGTTGTGAGTTTTGTGTGATAATGGAGCCTAAAAAAAATAATTTTAAAAAATATAGACTTAAAACAGTCCTCTTATATTTAATTAATTTGGTAAGCATCTATAGGTTTTATCACAGAACAGATGCGTTTTATAAAAATAAAGCAGGGCTTAAGATTAACATTAACATTAAGAAGTTAAATGAACGTAAGCCATTGGAAACTTTTATACAACACATTAACATTAACTTAATGATAATGTTAATTTTTATTCCTCCTGCGCAGGTTTGCGGCGCAATTTTTAAATAAACCGTGTCAGTAATGCCAACATACCCGAAAATAAAATGAATCTCTGAATGAAACTTACTACTGAATGATTGATTTTTTATTCCATGATTGTGTTCTTTGGTTTATTGTTTGACGTGGAATTTATAGTTTTCATTTATTTTACTTAACAGATGCTAAAACGGGATTAAAACAAACCAAAAATGTCAGATGTCAAAATTACTTTAACTTATACGCATGCTTAATTTGCTACTAATTTTGCTGCATAAATACCCTCCTATTAATGTTAAATTAATCTTAATCTTAATGTTAATGTTAAAGTTAATCTTAATGTTAATTTGTGCTGCATAAATCCACCATTAGTTTAATTTAACTAATTTAGGTAATTATTAACCGAATTGAAACCAAAACCAAAGAGTTATAAATTACCAATAGGTAGATAAAGTATTCAAATTAAACGAAATGAAATATCCAAATGGTTTAAATATACTTGCAGGTTAATTTATATTGGTTATACCGCAAGATACATACACCTTAAGATAGGATGGTGCGCATGTTGGGCGGGGCTTAACTACGTCACTTGATGAGTGTTTTTAAATCTTTAACGTGCTTTTTAATTATCTGCTGCTAAAATTCTTGTTTTTGCGATGCTGTTAGATGTTAATTTGCTCTATTTTTTGTTTAACTTGTTGTTTTTGTGTTTGGTAAGGTTAGAATTACTTTTCAGTGTTCAAATTATTGTTATTGTTTTTGTGTTGCGTTAACTTGTTTTGTTTGTGTTTTAGTTTGTGTCGTGCCATTTGCATTTATTAAAATGCAGTTTGGCATATTTGGATGCAATTCGGACAACCAGTCCAAGAAAAACCCTTTAAATAAAAACATTAAATTTAATCGATTCCCGAAAAAGTTTGATTTGTGAAAACAGTGTTTAAATACCACAAAAAGAATAGAAAAAATTAAAGTTAAAGCCGCTTCTGTTTCCTATAAACATTTTCTGTACAGTGAGTATAAGTTTAATTTAAAACACCAACGCTTAAACTACAGCCCTAAATGTTATCAAGGAATGAAAGCATCTATTATCCATATTATAACACTTTCTTCAATATTAAGTTTAATAAAAACGCACTATGTCCAGATATTTCTCTATTTTCTTTAATAATATTAGTATTATTCGTGTATTCTCACGGCAACTACACATCAAGTGACGTCATGCGCGGGACGAACCAAAACTCGTACACGGGAGCATCCAGCCCTGGTTATACCGTACCTTCAATTTCCATGTATACAGTAGGCGTGAATCGCTGCATTCGTTTTTGAGTAGTGGGTGTAAGAGTGGGAGAATAATAATTCGCTTTAAAATAAATAAAAAAAATCAACAAATAATCCATTTAATTACCAATGCTTTGCCAAAACATGTTGGAGTTAAAGTCAAATAGACTGAACTCCAGGTGGGTAGAATTATTTTTGTTTTTACTAAAAAATTCTCTTCCCATTGTACTAAGAAGCAACACACATTAAAATAACGAGGACCGACAATCAGTCTCACCGTCGCCGGCTCAGGGTGATTTTGAAGTTGGCTATTTATTTTTAAAACGCATTACGCTTTTATTAAGTAAATTTAATTTTAAAAATGATTCAGATAGGTACTTAAAATGTAACCTAGTCACTTTTAACAGTAAATTTAGTCTAATGTGTAAAATCATTACTTATTTTGCATTTATAAATGCAGTTTTTTATAACTGAAAGATGTTTTCTTATAAAAATAACGTTTCAACATAAAAAAATCTCTTGAAATTAAACTTATTCTGGACATTTACATCCCAAAATACAACCACTTGTCGTAAACCTTTGGATAACCTTTGCTATGGTTCGAATCGACGGAATAGGACGATCCGGATATTTAACCGTGAATAGGTCCCTTGTTTGACATAGAGAATTTCCACGTAAAGACCAGCATATCATTTCAATTTTCTCTTGTACTAAGTATAACATAATGAATAATTTATTATTCAATAAAAAATAATAATAGAATAAGAAGTTTAAGAATTAATAAGAGAATAATTTAAGCGTTTTGAAACAAACACTTGCAATTTGCTTAACATAACATTTCTGTTTTGCTTTTGAAAGTTGCAAAAGCAAAACAGAAATGTTATGTTTCTCGCCGGTTCAATGATCTTCCTCCCCTCCCTAGATATTTTACAGCGGCGCAGAGTCTTCGCTGCTGTAAAACATTTAGGAAGGGGAGGCGCCGTCCAAGTTTGGGTTTACTCGTGCTGAATACTTTTCAAATGAAGATACGGTATAACCAATACGTAAAAGCATCCTAAAATCGCCATATTGTTTGATGTCCGTTCTAACAAAAGGAAATACCTTTAATTTTAATAATTTGCTTTATTCTAAAAATAAGGTAGGTAATTTAAACAAACCCAATAGGTACATAATATTATATTATGTTTAAAAGTATTTTAAATCAATTTCAAGTCATATCTAAAGATATACATAACCATATTTGGTAAATTATAATTATGTAGAGTTAAAATAAACTTAAACCAGTTAATTATAGTTTAAGTTTACTTTTTTACATAACGTTAATTTTACCATAATTGAATTCCCCACCTATTACAAAATAACGTTAATTTAAGGTTAATTTAACGTTGTAGTACAATATTACTTAAATTAATTAACCAGGCATAACGTAAATTTACCGTTAAATTATCCAGTTGTGTCAACTTTTACCGTAGTTTTGCAATAATAAACGATAATATTGACTGTGCCCAATCAAAATTATCAATCTGTCATTTTCGGCAATACTGGATTACGAACACGTGATTATCTAGGGATATTTGGTTTTATTTATTTGGTGACTACCATAATTTAATTTTTAAAGTAAATTATTAAAAAAAACACAATTTTTTTGTTATTTATTATAAGTTCTTAATTTTTTAAAGTAATTAGACAATCTTTCTACCTATCATGGTTTTCTTATATTTGTTTCTGCTCTTCTCTTTAGACTTTATTTTTGGTTCCCAAATTTTTTTTTTGCAGTGGACCATTTTGTTTTAAAGAACATAATAATTCGTTCTCACAACTCATTTTATGATATTAAATAACACCGCATATAGAAATGTCACTGCAAATGCCTGAACAACATTAAAATTTGTTTTTTGGCATAACTTAATATTTTAAAACATTTTGACACTTTAATGTGTTTTTCCATGACTTCAGCATTCCTAAATTTATTAAGATTCTTAAGAATTATATTTTTGTTGTTTTTTAACACTTCAAAATGTTTTTAAAACTGCAAATGGCGTTTTTGACAAAAAATAACAAAATTTTTTTTTACCTTGATCAAATTCTCGGTACGTAGCTTCATCTTTATTTGCTTCTGTTTCTCCTTCTCCTTCCTGCGCTTCTCCTTCTCCTTCCTCCTCCTCTCCCTCTCCTGTCTCCTCTTTTCCCTCTCGGCGCGCCTTTCGGCGTTCTTCAGCTTCATCACGTCTTCAATGGAGGATTTTTCCGCGGCTGACGTTTCCTCCAGGGGAAGCGGGGGCGGTTGAATTTGTGCCGCCTCCATTTCCGCCATTTCGGGGGACAAGTTTTGAGGAACTATTTGAAGCATGTTGCCCACCTGTACGATCTGTTGCACCTGCTGTAAATTCTTATTTAATCAAGACATTCCACCAAATAAAAAAAATTATTTGGTGGAATGACTCATATAATTTAAGAATTAATAAAATATAATTTAGAAGTATCTGCATTTGAAGAGTTAGATAAATGAATAACAGTATGCCGTGCCAACAAATTCGGCGGTGCCAATGTAGTAAAAATAAATAAATAATTACCAAATTACTACTTTATTACAAGTTATATACAACTATCATTAAAAACTAAAAACGACATAAAAAGTAATTAAGTAACAATATAAATTGTTAGTTTGTTGTTATGATGGCAAAATTAAGGCTTTAAACTGTCAAATGTTTGTGTTTCCTAAGTTGGAAGCAAGAAATTTAAAATTAGAAACAAAATTTTGAAAGAATCTATGGAAAACTACACTTGTGCGAGCTTGTGAGATACAAATGTAACTTTAAACATTATTTTCTTGTAATCTGCGCCGTAAAAAATTTGAAAATATTTGTGAACGAGTCTGACGCCTCACAACATTCTATGGAAACTCCTCAAATGGAGGTAGGTAACTTCCTTAACTAATCGAATTACCAAAACATATATTTTACATTTACATTCATTCATTCATTTTTAAACTAAAAAACTTACAAGCCTTTTTGATTCACCATTAAAAACACAAAAAAATCAATAAAAACACTCTAGATTATAAAAATGTGCACATACCGTCAACCGTTTTAATTCATGGTGGTTATGCGGCGCAATATGCGCATAACTTATGCGCAGAGCATGCTAGTTTTAACGCGCGCATTTTGAAAATAGGCGAACCAACACGTTGTACTTTTGAGGTTAAGTGCATGTTTTATAGGTATTGTTACCTATAAACATGCACTTAACTTCATCACGAAAGTAAAGAAGATCGCTGTTGTAAGTTTTTTTCGAGTACCTTGAACGTATTTTCAGCGAATCGATTTTTCATAAAAAAAGATAGGTACCTACTTATTTTTATAAACCCTTCCTTATTTATTAAAATAAAAAACGTACAAGCCTTTATGATTCACCATTAAAGAACAAAACAGAACCAATAAAAAACTCTAGATTACAAAAATCTGCACAAAACCATAAAAAATGTCAAGTGGAAAGTTTTTAAGCGCGAATTAAAAAAAAGTTTTCAATATTTTTGTTATTAAATATACGTTTTTTTGAATTTTCGAAAAAAAAAACAAAATGTCGAATGACCCATATAATTTAAGAATTAATAAAATCTAATTTAGACTACAAAATTATTTAGTGGTATCTCGATTTGAAGAGTTCCATAAATTAATAACAGTGTGTCGTGACAACAAATTCGGCGGTGCCAATGTAGTAAAAATAAAACATTGTATTTTAATTAACAAATTACTACTTTATTACAAATTAAAGCATCATTAAAAACTAAAAACGACATAAAAAGTAATTAAGTAACAATATAAATTGTTAGTTTGTTCTTATAATGGCAAAATTAATTAATTTTTTTAATTAAACCTTAAGGTTTAAAACCGTCAAATTTTTGTGTTTTTAAGTAGGCATCACAAAATTTGACATGACAGTTAAGAAACAAATTTTTGAAAGAATTTATGGAAAATAAAAAATATGCGAGCTCGTGATATACAAATGTAACTTTAAAAATTATTTTCTTGGTATCTGTGCCGTAAAAAAATCTGAAAATATTTGTGAATGAGTCTGATGGTCTATGGAAACTAGGGTGCTTCGTTTGAGACGAATATTTTTTGTTTCTCACTCCATTGACAAAATATTGTTCTAAACATAGAAAAAAATTCCCTCCAAAGGAGAGCTCTTCAGGCCCGGCAGCTTTTCATTTTGACGTGTGGTGCTCATCTACAGTTGGTTGGTAGCAGTGGTTAATGGATGGGGGGTGTGGCTGTTCTTTTCCTTGGGGGTTGCGGGAAGGAGAACAATATAAAATGGGAATAGTTTTTTAGTCAATTTATTTATCAAACTCAGTCACATTTTATATACAGGGAAAGTTTTTTAACTTGGAAATATCTCGCGTAATAAGCACACTACTAATTTTAGCACTAATATATCCCCCCCGGAATGATTAAATTTAGTTTATATAGTTTTTTCGACAGTGCTTATTACGCCAGATATTTTTTAGTTTCAAGTTAAAAAACTCACCCTGTAATGGAATCGAATGGGATAGGTATATTACTGCCACATCGGACGTTTTTAGGGTTGGCATCTGCCACTTCTTGGATCAAGGGTTACCAGCATCAAAAATACGGGTTTAAAATAATCGTTCTAGATTTTTTAACGAGAGACAATTAAAAAAGAGTTACTCTAAGATTCGAACTAACTTTTGTTGATAAAAAGTCGGGTATCTATCCACTAATACAATTGGTGGTAGCAAACACGAACTCAGAGATAATAAACAAACCGCACGAACTGTAAATAATAATAATAATATAAGTCAAAGTTTGGTCGGTTACCGTCGGTATAGTAGAAATACCCTAAATACACGTCGCGACGTGTCGGTATGTTATTCCTACTATACCAAGAAACATACACTTATACATACTATACCAGAGACAAGGGAGTCTCTGTACTATACCGACCGACTAGTCGCGACTTTGATACTTTAAACCAGCGGTTCTCAAACTGTGGTACGCGTACCACAAGTGGTACGTAAGGCATCCAAAGGTGGTACGCGAATGGATAATAGATGTACTAGCCTTCAAATAAAATTATCGTTGGCTCAATTTTATTGAAAATCTATCATTTTCCACATTTTATATTGTAAATGGCAACACTGTTGTTGGTGTTTATTAAACGGGTAATCCCCTGCTCGTTTTAAAATCGTGACGAGTCATGCGTATTTTGTTTTGTTCTGACAAATTGTTGTTTTAATACTATAAAAATTGGTTCTGTTTGACGGTTATCAATATTTCTTATTAAACTACAAGTTCAATAAATACGTACAGTCCGTTCAGGCTAAGTTGAGCGCTTTGGTGGGGGATCTTGTGACCGTTGATTAGATTAAATATCTAATCCTCGCAAGATTTCGGTAACAAGAAGATGATTTATCACTGCCGGGGCTTGCGGTTTGTTGGTACAGAGCGGCTACCGAAATACATGTATTTAATTGTGACTAAACATACAGATGATGGACGGGGTGACATTCCTAAGACCGCTCAACTTAGCCTGAACGGACAGTACACGCAGTACAACTTGTTTTATTTAGTTCGGTGGTACTCGATTAATCCACATTGCACATGAATGGTACGCGAAAAAAAAGTTTGAGAACCGCTGCTTTAAACTTTGGATTCCTCAGCTTCAACCGTAAATTTGTAGAGGGCGTTGGTGTGTATCCTAGGCTAACAGGATAAAAAATTTAGAGACCGCAATATATTTGTTATATGCCGCAAAAGAAATGCAATTTTTCTGCTGAAGATACGTGTGGTGCTGAGCACCACCATTTTCCTTTAGGTGTAGTGCTTGAGCCCGCGAGCACCGCTATTGTCGCCGGCCCTGGAGCTCTTAATTTTAAGTACTCGCTAAATGAATTTAAAGTTTTTCCATTTAATTAACCCGTAAAAATATTTTTTGTTGCTTAAATTATCTATAGCATAGCGACATTTCATGGCATTCATTTGAAAATGGAAGATAGAGAGGAATCATTCCTCTTTCAAAGCTAATTTCCAACTTTTGAATTATATTGCCAGTAAAAAATTGTGTAGTTGATTTTTGCTCTTGGTTTTTCGAAATTTATCTCAGAAACAATTTATTCTGCGGTTTCGGTTATTAATCTGTCTTGTAGGAAATTAAATTATGTAAAAAAAGGTCCTTTACAATTTAGGTGTCAAGACAATAGTTTAGGAGAAAAAGTCCAAAAACCACGATTTTTTAGCAAAAATCAACTAAACAATTTTTTACTGGCAATATAATTAAAAAGTTGGAAATTAGCTGTAAGAGCTTTTAAAGAGGAATAATCTCTCTTCAACTTCCACCCATGGTCATATGAATGCCATGAAATGTCGCTATGTCATAGATAATTTAAGCAAAAAAAATATTTTTACGGGTTAATTAAATGGGAAAACTTTAAATTCATTTAGCGAGTACTTAAAATTTAAATTAAGAGCTCTTCTTTGGTGGGAATTTTTTTTCTATGTTAAGAACAATATTTCGTCAATGGAGTGAGAAAAAAAATAGTCGTCTCAAACGAAGCACCCTAATGGAAACTCTTCAAATGGAGATACAGTAGAAACCACCAATATATGAACGTGACTCATCGGGTGCCGAACATATCTCCGACATGCTAGCAGTAATGTTTTACTTGTCTTGTACGAATGTACATTCGATGCAGCTGTAAATGTACTCACACGTAGGTTTTTAAGCATCCGGTCTAAAATGCGCCATCTGTGATGTAAAACTGCCTAGGTGTTCGACAAAGATGGACATATGACGCGTGTCCTAACTTGTTACTTATTTTTGTTGGGATTCAGTAGAGTTCGTGTTTTAGGCAATTTATTTTATTTTATTACATAGTACGGCAACCAACTCTACCGTCGGCCATTTGTTTTTATATGTCATATGATCTTTGTTTTTGCATATCGTGTTTGTGCTGTGTGTTTACGGATTAATAATCGTTTTAAACGTTGTAGTGCTAGTGGTTTTTATTGCAATTGTTATTGGACGTTTATTGGACTTTATTGCAATTGTTATTGTACGTTTTTTGGACTTTAAATAAACGGTGTGTGTTTACGGATTAATAATCGTTTTAAACGTTGTAGTGGCAGTGGTTTTTATTGCAATTGTTATTGCACGTTTTTTGGACTTTATTGCAATTGTTATTGCACGTTTTTTGGATTAAAACGGTAAATACAAAGATTAATTAATTATTAAAATTTAACTTTAAAAGCAAATATATCAGAAGTATAGCAACCAACCATACACTCAAGTGTTTGTACAAATACTTATGCCCCCGTTAGAACAGCACTGCACTGGAATTCAATTTCCCGTGACCTTCGA